ATTTTTATATCTTAACCATTATCTCAAAGGGGGCTAATTTTTAAAAACCAAGAGTTTCTCTGTTGGCTTCCTATTCTCAGAGATAGATAGCAGCTCAGCAAATGCAGAAGAGCTTTCAACCGTACTATCCATTAACCCAGCATTTCCTGGGCCTGGCAGGGACGGGTCAGGGAGACCCTCCACCCTCTGTGCAAACAGCAAAACAAGGCTAGGTACCAAGTAAATGCCTGGAGTGAGGTGTTCAGTCACCCACCTATGTGGTCACACTTAAGAAGTGAGAGGAAAAGAAAAAAGAAAAAGAAGTAAGAGGAAAGGGGAGGGAAATCTGCCTTCACCTTCACCTGAAAGCTGCAATAAATCTAACTTTTTATGTCCAAAAAGTATCAAAGGACAGAGGGAGGCAAGAAGGAAGGGAGAAAAAGGGAAGGAAGGGAGGGAAGAAGGAAAGAAAGAGAGAGAGTGAAGGGGAGGAAGGGAGCACCAACTCAGAGTTCAGGACTTAACGTCCCACGAAAAGCTGAACAAATAAAGAAGAATACACACCATTTCGTGCCTGTTTCTCAGTGACCTGTCAGAAAAGATCTTCCATAAACGAGGGATCTTTGCTTTCTTGGGTCTGAGCTGCAGATCAGAAAGTCGCCTGAATGTACACACTCTCTCACACACACACTCTCTCGGGGACAGACTACATGCACAGCTCACAGACATGGAGCCTCATTGTTACTGGTGAACAGGAAAAAGATGCCGAATTAACGCACATTAGAAATCCTTCCCTATCGAGTGAAGCCATCGGCAATTTCGATTTCATTGTTTGTTAGTTGTTTTTTGTTTGTTTGTTTTTAAAGAGCGTTTAGCTAGTGGTTACTTCCCAGACCCCCAAAAGGGCTTCTTCCACTTCGTACTGCACTTGTAAACAAATATAATTGGAAATAAAACAGCTCCAAATATTTGCCCTCCTGATTTTGTAAATTCTAAGGTTTAAAAAAAAGCAAAGTTGCTTTATTTTTGCTTGAGATTTCAGCCTATGGGGAGCTCAGCCAAGGAGGGGAGAAGCTTTTTAACACAGGCACCGTAGCCCCTCTTCTGGTGGCTGGAGCCATTTCAGCTCAGAAGCAGTATTTTACATAACCCTGCAGGCAGTGCTGAGTCAAACCACCTGCCGAAGGTGATTGGTTATTGCCCAGCCTCTCTGTTTGCTACAGACAGCATTCTGGATCCAGCTTCTGACACCTCCTCCTACTCCAGATCCTTCATTGTAGAGTTGAGGAAACAGATTTTCTAGGAGACTGAGAGACTCCATCCCGATCATCCAGCTACCCAGTAACAGAGCTGGGTCAAAACTGAAAACACAGATCTGACTACCAGACAATGCTCTTCCCTTAATTGTCCAAAAGCACGTTCCTCAATTAAGTGGAAACCATGCTGTAAACCAAAGCAGCCTCTGCCCACAGATCAGTTAGGTCTTCTAATATTGACAAGATGGAATTGAAGAAGAGCACTTATGTCAGGATTCTATTTGGAATCTTGAGGCTGCCCAGCATGTAGTCAGCAAGCTGCATTGTTTCCTGTGTTATTGGTATGCATGCCTGTTCGCTAGGAGGCTGCATTCTCCACCAGGGATGGACTGTGCCTCGTTCATCTTTGTGCTTCCCCTCGTCCAGCTGCTTACCACAGATTTTGCACAAAATGAGCACTCAGTACATCTTTTTAAACATAAATGAGTGCCCAAAACACCCAACAGAACAGGCATGGCAAAGATGCTCTGTAGATTGAGAGTGGGGGGTGGGGGAATAATCATCTGTATTTTCCAAAACAAAAGACAGCTGCCTACATGTACAAAATTACCAGGGAGTGGGTTCCAGGTTCATGTACATTTTTTTTTTTTTGGAGATCAGTCATTCAGGGATTCTTCGCTCTTCACTTCTTAGGACATGTTGTTGTCTTAATTGCAAGCTCCGCGAATCTCTGATCAACGCTGTCCCTCCTAAGAGATCGGCACGCGTGCAATCCCTTTGGAAAAGCTTAATCCACCCTAATTGAGTCACAATATCAACCCAAACTAATTAGACTTTCAGAAAGTTGTCAACATCCTTCAAGATAACCGGGGCTGACTACTCTGCAGCTTTCACAGGGGAGTACACGCTCAAATTCTAAAAGCTTGAAATTCTACCAGTGACTCCTGAATAAAGACCCCTTTCTTTTCAAAAACATTCTCTCCATTGGCTTTTTGCTTCTATACTATACAGAAGTATAAACAGAACATCAGACTCCAAGAAGGATCATAAAACTCCAAAGTTCAAAAAGCCTATTTCTGCAGTAGTTTTACAAAGAAGCAATCTGGCGTCAGCTTGTTTTGTTTCTTAAGAAACAGGGTCTTACTGTCACGCAGGCTGGAGTACAGTGGTGTGATCATTGGTCACGGCAGCCTCGATCTCCTGGGCTTTAGCAATCCTCCTGCCTCAGCCTCCTGAGTAGCTAGGACTGCCAGCACTCACCATCACACTTCACTAATTTTTTATTTTAGTAGAGACAGGGTCGCACTATGTTTCCCAAGCTGGTCCTGAATTCCTAACCTCAAGCAGTCTTCCCACCTCAGCCTCCTAGGTAGCTGGGACTACAGGCACATGCCACCACACCCAGATAATTTGTTATGATTATTATTTTTTTAGAGGTAGGGTCTTGCTATGTTGCCCAGGCTGGCCTTGAACCCCTGGCCTCAAGTGTTCCTCCTGCCTCAGCCTCTCAAAGTCCTGACATTATAGGCCTGAGTCACTGCACCTGTCTGTCAGCTTGTAATGCCTTATCAGAGTCCCCATCTCAGAAAAGCGTCATTGCACTCCTGAAAACCAAAAGCATTCCTGACAGAAGCAGAACCCAGTGTCTTCAGATCTAAAAGTCATCAAATCAGACAAATAAATTCAACCTCTTCAATGTCTAGGTCTTGCTACCACAGCAATCTAACCCTAAGCCTCCAATCACTAGTTTCACCACCATAAACTATGGCCATAATGACTTAATAGCAAAATTTGAAATCTTATTCTCAAGGCACGTTTATTTTGCATTTGATAAATAAAAGTATCGTTAAAAAAAAAACCCCACCATATCCTTACAAAATACCTTTAAGTAGAGAACCTGAAATCAACTAAAGGTGTCCTTTTTTTTTTTTTTATTGTACTTTGGGTTCTGGGGTACATGTGCTGATCATGCAGGATTGCTGCATAGGTACACACATGGCAACGTGGTTTGCTGCCTCCATCCCCCGTCACCTACATCTGGCATTTTCCCCCATGTTATCCCTCCATGACCCCCCTGCCCCCTCTGTCCCTCTCTTGGCACCCCCCAACAGACCCCAGTGTGTGATCCTCCCCTCTCTGTGTCCATGTGTTCTCATTGTTCAACACCCGCCTATGAGTGAGAACATGCGGTTTGATAAGGTGTCCTCTTATTAAATTTCTCATATTCAGTTGACAGGTAGCAAGCATTTCCATCCCCGTTTTAGAATGAGGAAACAGCCTCAGGGACTTGAACTAAGTGAGTCCGTTGTGAGGCTAAAATAGAAACCAAACTTCAAGATGACCTTGAATGAAATACAGCCAGAAAATAAGGTATAAATTGATAGTGACACTTGTTTAGCTTAATGTCACTCCACAAAAAAAGTCAGAATGGCCTCACAAGAAAAATAGCATTACTGAACATCCTAAATATTATTACACATTTGCCATTAACTTGGCAAATTCATCACATAAGCTTGCTGTTTGGGGCATAGCCATATGCTGCATATGCTAAATCAATGCTGTCTTTCCTTCCTAAGTGCAATCCACAGAATACTAAAATGATGTCTCACGAAATTACTTACCACAATATGTACTTAGATTTCGCATTTAATTTTAAAATCTAGTCAAACGTATTTATTAATTAGTTTATTTGGATCCGCAGCATAGTTGGAGGGAACTGCCCAGCAAAATGAAAGCAAAATCACTTCTAAAGACATCTGAAGACTGAGATTTCTGTCAAGACCACGCAACTACTTAGTAACAACACTGAGTCAAAATCAAGAGCACAGGTCTGACTCCCACCCAATGCCTTGAATTTAATTGTACCAAACCATTTTTTCTCCAATTAAGGGGAAACACTACTCCAAACTAAAAGCAGCCCTTCTGTTCCCCGATCAGCGAGGGCTTCTAATATCACTGTGACACATTTCAGAGGGGCACGAAATGTGTTTGAAGTCTTTCTCTTTACAAAATCCTCTCTCTTCCTCACCCCTGCTCTGCCATGCCCAGGTAGTAAATGTCACTGGTTTCAAAGCCCAGTGAATTTGAACTTGCACATGATGAGAAAAAAGCAAGAGATGAAAAGTTTGGCTGACATCAAATTGCCCTCTCCACACCGCAATACGCACAACGATGTCTGCCTTTGTGGAAAACGAAAGGCATTACAGATGAGGAAGGGAAGAATGGAACGGGAAGGATAGCAGAAGTTGTGTTCCAGTAAAACTCAACACTTAGTAAGAAACTGAGGAGTAAAATGCAGCTGGGATAGTAAACCCTCAAAACAAAAAGCAACAGTAAAACTCAAAAACTGTCAACTCAAGTGAACAATAAAATGCACAAAATATTCATTTGACTGATGCATAGCCCAACTCTCCCACAATCTGGGGAAAGGCCATTCAGTTCTACAAACAAGATCTCGCATTCCCAAGTGAGACTGTCATTCCAAACCCCTAAGCTAAACTCTCTCTTGCTCAAACTGCTGAGAATACAAAGGCTTCTTGGGATCATACTTTGAACCCAGAAAACAGAAAAGAAGGCCCTCATCTCACTGCATTTAAATCATTCATTTTCTTTTCTGAATGTTCCTCTAGGCAGGAGGCTCTGTGAGAGCAGGGCCCACAGAGGTCTGGAACACCTAGTACATACCTGGCTCATCACAGGCCTTTGGTACATCTCTCACTAAATGGATGATTTACCATGTCATGATGTGACCTGAATTCTACTTACACTTATGAGAGAGAAGTACATCAAAGGAATCTGCCCACCTCGTAGCTTCTTCTGTGGATAATCTCCTAGAAAAAAAGAAACATCTCTCTTGAATGTTTCTGAAATAACCTCCTTGCCCTTAACGACCACTAAGATTTGCTCAGGAAAAGAAATGGGAAGAACATGGGGGTCGGGGGTAGTAGATGAAGACTGTACCTGGATTCCTGCAATTCTGTCACTGTAAATTTGTGCATTCTTAAGTAATTGATGAGAAAAAAAAAAAAAAACTCAGGGCTGGAATTCAGTGAGTTCCGTCTGTTGGCTTTTAGTCTAAAGAACAAAGCTAAGTAAGTACATGATTTAAAGGTGTCAAGGTAACAATGGAAAGAAACTGGTCTTAGAAAAGTTAGACTCAGCTCCCGACTCCATCTCTTTCTGTCACCTAAATGTCTGCACTTCTGAAATGGGGATAATGATGCCCACTACACAGGTTTGTGAAGGTTACACAAGGTAACATCAATGCCATTTAATACAGCAGCAGCAGAAGAGGTGCTGAATTCAGGTTACTTGAATCTAAGCATATTTTTGGAGTAAGTTTGAACATTTATTTCCAAATTGAGAGCTCAGATTGACAACTAAGAAGAGCCAAGAAGTATCCTTTACCGCCCACAGTTTTGTGAGTGATGGATGATATGGCTTTCTTAGGAAGAAGAGGATTCCCATTCTTAGATCACTAAGCTATACATTCTGAAAAGGAAAATAAACACTCCTTTCACTCACATCCAGGGATATAAAAGGAGCTGCCAAGAGACAGGAATTTTTTTGTGGCTCATCTGGTCAGCAACTCACGAAAGAAGTGAGCTACATAACTTGTCATATTACCCAGGGAATGGCACGTGGCCGTACTACTCACTTGAGAGCGCGGTTGGGTTTGTCTGGAAGAATAGCTGTGAAATCACTACACGAGTCTGACTTGTGAGACAGGCATCCCAGTCGAGTCCTCATCCCTTTGTTCCTGCAACAAGCACAGGGGCAGAAGGACGGGGAAACTCTCATGATCACAGCTGTCGGCTCTATACAGGGCCCCTGGAGCTGCTGCTGCGGGAGCCAGCACTGCCCCCACCCTTCCCCAGGTGGTCTCTGAAGCCTTCCTGTACAGGAAGGGAACACCTAGAGAATCAGTAACTACCTGAACAGTCACAGGTACCCTACCCGACCCCCTAGAGGCTTAATGCTTTTTAAAGCTGACACGGCAAGTTGATGGTAAGTCAATGAAGGTCATTAGCTTGGAAGAATTTCTAAATTGGGATTCTCTGTAGGGAAAAAAAATACAGTGATAACAAAATAACAATCCACATTTTGCTTTTCCACAAGGAGGACAAAGTAACAGCAGCAGCAGCAGCAGCTCCTGATTGCAGAGACCCAGAAGGAGTGCCATACCGGGAGCAGAGGATGTTTGCAGGGTGCACGGGGCATATCAGAGTCTTAGAGCACAAAGTAGGGGCCTAAAGGCAGGTCAATTCCAACTCAGGTTCTCCCCACTCATCCCACAAATCTAGCTACAGTCAACTCATAGGATTGATGCCTGCAGGTAAGGAGAAGAGTAATTGGTACAATCAGCAATTAAGAATCAATGTCAGTTCTCATGCTTGCCTGACTAAGCTTGTGTATTCCTATTTACATCTGGCTTCTCTCAACAAGCATAATTAAATTTTTAACATGTATGTTTACATTTCTCATGTGTTTTATTTTCCAAAGGACCCATATAATGACATCAGGCACTTAAATGGTTATCTCTCATAACAGATCCAATGAGAAGTTACTCTAATATCTCTTTCTGACTCCCAACATTAGCCTCTGTTTACCACTTCACATTTTTTATATGTTTAATTTTTTTGTTTGGAGACAAGGTCTTGCTATATTCCACAGGCTGGTCTCAAACTCCTGGCCTCAGGTGATCTTCATGCCTCAACCTCCTGAGTAGCTGGGATTATAGGCCCAAGCCAGCATGCCCAGGTAGCCTCTGTGAACCTTTAATCAGAGGTTGACAAACTACAGCCCTAAAAGGTACCTGTGTGTGTAAATAAAACTTTATTGAAAAATGACACCACCATTTGTTTACAAATTGTCTAAAGCTGCTTTCAACTACCAGCGCAGAGTTGGGTAGTGGCCACACAGACCATATGACCCCAAAACCGGAAAATATTTACTCTCTAGCCCTTGACAGAGTACGCTCGCTGACCCCTGACCTATAACTATGACAACTTTTTGTATTGAGGGCAAAGGTAAGTGGGATGGGTTTAGTATAATCAAATCAGGATTGGAGAGTGACTTAGAAAAGGGAAATGCTGCTCGCACGTTTGCAACAATTTGCCACAGAAGGAGTCCTACAAGAGGCCATTCTGCATGTTGAAAGGTGTCCTTCTGGCCTAGCTTGCTTTCCTCTTTTTCCTAGGGGTGGGAAGAGACCTTAGGGATCATCCAATTCGATCTCTTTTACTTCGAATGGATTTTCATTCCTGGTCATTGTCTTTGTTCACAGAAATCTTATCCAAGAAATGTCTGCTGGGATGATATTATATTTGGCAGGGTTGGACAGCATTTGTATTCCACAGCACATCTCTGAAGAGCCTCTTAGGGCTGGAACATCCAAGTTCCCAGAAATATCCTCTCTCCTGCAAAAAACTGGGCCTGCACGTCCACTGCTCCCACCTTGAATCTCAGCCAGGCCGCATTGTGAAGCCATACATTTCACCGCATTTCCAAACATTGACTACTGCTTTGCTCTCTCCTGAGACAGTGGGCGTCTTATGTGTCCACTCTCGCTTGCAAATTGCAGGGTGCCTGACGGAAGGCCATGTGAGCAGCTGATTAAGGACTCAAGTCATCACATCCCATGAATTCAAGTAAAGGTCCTGCTCAGGCTACCCCACAGACCAGAGCCCAACTTTCAGTGAGCTGGTTCATTCCTCACGCCTCAGGATCATCAGTCATAAAACACTCAGGTCACTGCCCTCCAAGAGCAATCAAGAGGACTTTCAAAAAATGGCAAATCCACACAAGCCATTTAACAAGGTTTAGCAGGGGCCAGTGTAATGGTTGCTAATTGTTACCAAGACAACTGTGATTCTCCTAAATAGTTTGCAAAAATCTTCCAGAAAATATTCTTTGGGACAAAATGATTTTTATTTTTCTTCTTCCTAGCTAAGACCTCAATAATAATCTTCTAAGTCTGAAATAATGAGGGCAGAAGTGAGAGTCAAAGGTTAAGGATACTTTTAAAAGAGTAACCAGGCTTTCCCTCCTCTGTCTCCTTTCTGCAGCCCCTATCCCAGTAACTCACAGAGATCCCTAAATGGTTCCATACAAGCTCATGCATAGTCCCTCATCCCACCGCCTAAGTCACTGCCAAGATGTCCCACCCGTCGATGGGAGGGCTTCAGCTAAGGCAGGTCCCGCTTGTAAGACCACAGATTTGCAAGAGGCACACAGACAAGAACCGTGCATTTCACACATGAGACCTATGGGGAGAGATGCAAGCGGACCACCCATGGGCTCCGAAGGCTTGGGCTAGGCTCAAAGAGCAAAGGGGTGAGAAGGTGGAGAAAAGAGGAAAGGGTCAGGGGCAAGAAAACAGGCCATTGATTTCATTACCTGCGTGGCATCAGTAAGGCCGCCATACAGGCATCCGCTTACGGTTAACCCTTGGGCTGGTTTGCAGGGACGTCAGGGCAGGAAATAAGACTGCGGGGCTCAGGAATTTACCCTTGCACGTCCTCTCACCTAAAATCAAAGAATCTGCTGTAAGAGGGGCCACCCTCTCTCATCTGACTGCACTACACATCCTCTCACACGGCTTCCGGCCAATGGGACACCTCCCCGCACATCCCCCACCAGGACCTACAATGTCCACTTGTCCTTAGCAGGAACGACAAACTGACAATGGACGAGAACAGACTGTTGGTGGCTTCATGTTGGTGATTGTTGGTTAGGAGTTCCGGATTCCCCAGCCACTGGCCATCAAAAATAAAGTGGGACATGTGCCTCAGGGGAGGTGTGGGTCTAGCAAACCAAAATTTACTGTTCTGTTTCTCTTACTAAAGAGGGGCCCAAGTGACCGGCCAGTGGGGTTGGGGGGGGGCAGTACTTGCTCCAAAATAATCTGATTGGATGCTGCTCTGATTCTCGCCTCCCTCCAACAGCACCTGCCCCAGGTGGGAGTGCGTGGAGACTCAGGAAAGTGGGAGTGGGAGGGAGGTTGGAGGAACTCCAAGAGAGGCTTGTCAGGCACCGTCACCACACAGGCTTGCTCCTCTGCAGGGATCACAGGTGCAGGCTGAAGAAATGAATATGCAAGTCACCCTTTCTTGCCCATATGGAGCCTACATGACCTTCCTTCAGCCTGGGGACTGGCCTATTCTTGACACGGAGCAGGAAGGACATGAGTGTGGGGAAAAGGGGTCATGGAGGTTGAAAGCCGACTGACTTATCGTCTTCCTCTCCTGAGGGTTCCATTCTCAGTGCTTCAAACCCTTTGTTCCCACAGAAGAACTCTGATAGGAAGAAGCACGTGAGGAGAGCTGCCTATCCATAAAGGGCTCCCCTGGGGAACTCTGACACCAAACATAGAATCCACTTTAAAGGAAACCTAATTTAGATAGATACGACTCCTATGTGAGCTACACCATTTAAATCATTTTTATATTACCGTGGACATTTCACAAGTGCTTTTTAAAAATAGCTTCTTTAGTTATACTATAATTAATAAAATTAAAAGATCGCTTTGTTAAAACTAGAAAAAAACAATTGGTGAGACTGTGTGGAAATACCCATCATCACAGGGACATCTTTAATCTTTCTCCTAACCGGGCTTACACCTGCTTAACCAGAAGTCAGGAAATCAAAGCCTTTGCAGCTGTGATGGTCCCTAGATGTCATGTTTGGGGCACCTAGGCCTCTTGCTGTGGGACATGGCCCCAGGGGAAGGGGAAACCCATGCAGGGACCTTTGTTATCCTAGAGCCAAATGGAACAAGAGACGAACCCACCTACGTCGCAGGCAAGGTCATGTGGGGCAGGGAATCCCCCAGCCTTCTGTCCCCGCCTCGTCTCTCTTCCCATCCCACGGCCAGCACATACTGGCTTGCCCAGGCTGTTCAGATGCCTGTCTCTCTCCTTCAGATCCAGCACTGCCCAAATTGCTGCTGAGACCCTCCACTACCCATTTCGTGCACTCAGCCACAGGCGCCACTAAATAAGAATCAGCAGGACACTCTGATCCAGCTGCCTGGTCCATCCCAGCAGGGCTTTTATCCCATTTGGCCCTGGACTTAGGAGAGTCAGAAGTTACCCAAGGCCCAGGAAGTTCAAAGGTGTGATTGCTCCCACAGTGCACACGCCCTCGTAGGTGGGCATCAAGTCACAGGTGCATCGGGGCAGACGGGATGAGGCATAATGGGAAGAGAGGATACTCAAGGGAAAAACAAAGGTTAAAAGCAAAGAGCAAAGATTTATAAGGATGGGGAGAGAAACTAGAGCCTCAGCATGAAGAAAGCAATCAATATGCATGAAGAGGCAAGTTAATTAAATATGGATAATGCAATCGGTGCACACAGACACCCTGGAGAGGAAAGAGAAAAGCAAAGGCACTACTCACTGTCTTTGGCCAGTCCTCATGGCCTGCGGGTCTTTGCCAACTGGATGGTCAGAGAGGCTGCGGTTTAAGGCGCTCTGGGGAAAAAGTAGACCTTTCGTTTAGCGGTCAAATCCTCTGCAAGTGAAGGGCATGTGTGCATGAACACATAGGCGCACGTACACACATATACACACACACAGCCATGCACAACACACCTCCCACCACTTGAGCCAGGCAGCAAGCAGCCCCGCTGAAAGCTCTTCTCTCTGCTTGTCACATCCAGTAAATACTGAAGCAGCCTACACCCAGCGGGCGGCAGCTCAGCTCCCGGGCACAGTCTGCACGCCCATCCTCATTGGCAGGATGCAGGAGGTGCCCCTGAGCCGAGCCCAGCCTCACTAACCTGAAGCTCCTCTGGCCGCTGCTCAGGGAGAAGTCCCTATAGCCCACAGCTGCCTCCCTCTGCGCCCAGAGGCTGTGCAAGGGGCAGCAAAGAATAGGTATTAACTCTTTCCAGTCACCAGTGAGCTGAAAATCAAGTGTCCAGGGGGCCCTCTTCTAATGAGCCCCGCTGCTGGCTGAAGGTTGGCTGCTGCACCGGGAGCGGGGAGCGTAAAGATCTTGCCCCAGACAGCTGCTGACAGCAGGAGCCACTCCAAATCAAGTCTCCTAATGAGCCAGGAGGAGGGGGGCTGTCTTGCTGGGTGTGATGTGATGTGATAAATGCAGAGAGCAAGAAAGCTGTGGGGCAGGTCACACATCTAAATTCCACCCCCTTTCTCCCAATTTCTACTGTGCTGCACTGCCAAGCCAAACCACACAGCCCTGAAATTAGCCCTCTGCCACATCTCAGCTGTGCCCCCTACCCTACAGAGGCATTTCTCCCCCAGCTCGTCTCCACTCCCACCCTAACCAGCACCAACCACACCACTCCCCACTTCTTAATGAGAAATTTCCACCTCCTCTGCCTTCCCAAACATGCATATTTCCAACTCTATGCTCCTGCCTCTCACCTGGTTTTTCCTACAGTAGAAACTCACCTCTCTCCCTCGTCTATCACCTAGCAACTTCCCCCTACTTGCGTTTGTTACAGAGTGAGACTTTTCCCTTTGTTCCACCAAATCTGCACAATATCCCTATTTTTCTGTCTTTTCCATTTTTTTTTTCTTCCAAACCGCCTTACCCACATGGGTCTTCACACTGCCTGCTTCAGTCCAGAAGGAGGACTCTCTTCCTGCTTGCCCTAGTGTAGCGGTTCTCCAAGCGTGGTCCCTGGACCAGCAGCGTCAGCATCACCTGAGAAGCATCCGAAATGCAAATGTTCAGGCCCCACCCCCAGACCTACAGAATCAGGAACTCTGGGGATGGTAACCAGGCTTCCAGGTGACTCTGATGCATGCTAAAGTTTGCAAACCGCCACCCTGGGAGAAAGCTTGCCTTCTTGTTATGCTCCACATCCCGAAGGCTCAGTCTACACTCCCACTCAGGAAGTAGCTCCAAAGACACATAGCCTTTGCTGCAAGTCACTTCTAAAACCCCGAAGGCAGCAGAAACCTCAACAGAAAGTGATGGCTTTATAATGATGGAAGTGGATTCCATTTTTAAACCTTTTTAAATATATAAAGCATTTTCATATATTGTCCCTCAACAATCCTATGCCATCATCAGAGAGGGTATTATTACCCTCAGATGAAAGAAATTGAGGCTAGAAAAGGTGATGTACTTTTATCAAAGCGACACAACATGCCAGAGGAGGCACAAGGACCAGAATGAGAGTCTCGTGACTCTAACAGCGGAGCTCTTTCTACTGCATCATACCAGGACCCCGTCTATCCGGCAGATCTATCGGTGCATAACCTGAATTCTCTCGGTGAAATGATTCTGCCGCAACTACTCATTGCCTGATGATAAGATGAAATAAAAATTCTGATGCTGCCTCCACAATGACTCACTGCCTCTTTCTGATAACGTCCACAGTGCCCCTCTATTAAAGAAAGGGAACTTTGTGTTATAAAATGAGAAGCAAAAGAAAAGTTTCTCATTTCTCATTACCCCTTTCTTGAACCCTGTTGCTAACTGGGGTTTAGAACTTAAGCAGAAAGAGAACCCTTCATTTCTGGACATTTTCTTGGTACGTTGCACCATAAAAAAAAAAAAACTGGTACACAGATACACTGGTGAATAAAAGCCTATTGATAAGCACTCCCCTGATTCAAGATATGTTTACGGAATAAGGTGAATCCTCATAGCTCATGTTTAATGAGCAGTTAGTATGTGCCAGACATGATGCCAAACATTGCGTTTGAGTTATCTATTTAACTTTCAGAACAAATTTAAAAAGCCAACACCTGTATCACCCCCTACCCCCCGCCTCTACAGATGGAGAAATAGAAACAGGTCATTGAAAAGTGGCAGACCTGGTATCTGGCACCAGATCTGACGCTTCCAGCCTCTGCTATGCTCCTCACTTTTAACACAAAGGTAATGCCATCATTGGACACCTCCCACCAGCCCTGAAACAGTGCAACAAAGGCCTCCTCCAAGTTTCACGGTGCCTGGGCCAGTATCCAGGGGGTAAAGGCCTCGAGGAAAGACAGCAGGACTGCAAACGGGCCTGGGTCGTAAGTGGAAACTAATCAATATTATCCAGGCATCAGAATCGTCAATTAGCCTTTGGAGAAATAATATGGTCACAGGAAGTCAATTAAGTCCAATGTTTAAGAAGTGCTATACTAAACAAGAAAAATGTAAAAACAAGAACAGGAATATGAAGAGCAGAAGGACAAGAGTGTGTGGACATGAATAATATGAGGAAACGGAAAATTAAAACTAGTCCAAGCTTTTTTTTTTCCTAACCAAAACACGCCTAAATGCCAAGGACTGATCACAAAGCGCTGCAGTTTGAGAAGCACAGACCTAGCACGCGCCCCTCTCCCGAGAAAACACCAGCGTATACTCCCAAACAGGCCAGTGCATACTTTCAGGGAGGAGAATTAAGCTCAACCTAAAGTAAAGCGTTCTAGAATTGTCTCCTTTCCTGAAATAAATAAACAGAGAAGACAAGCAGGGTTACGTGCTCGTGAGAAAGTATTTCCTCTCCTTGGACTCTGCATTCCCCAGGCTTAGAGCTCTGGGTTCTTTTTCGGCTACTGCTCTTGACTTGCTAGCTGAAGATTTGGCACAGGACATCTCAACTGGCCACAACTCACATTTCTTACAGGAAGACAGTGATTGCAAGCCCGGCTCCTGCCTCCAGGCTGTCCTCGGCGCTTCAACCTTGCCTCTTCAGCTCCAGGCTGCTTTTCCAGAGGTTTGCTGGACAGCTCCTCACATCTCAGACCCTGCACGCTGTGCTGTCTCTAAACCATCACCTTTCCCCATCCTCCATTCCTGCTGGGCTCCCTGCGTTTGCGCGTGACATCACTCTGCCCAAGTCCCACAAGGGACCCTAACCCTAACCCCAACAAGTACAGACATATCTGGTTTCTTTTTCTCTGTTTACCTTCCTAAATTGGTTTTTAAATCTTGTCATATTTATGAAATATTTCTCAACTTCATTCTCTCCCATACACTGATGCTGCCATGTGAGAGGTCATTCGGCCCCCAGTGCCTGCACAACCCCCTACCCCTTCTTAAATAACGGATCTCCCTGTCCTGGTTTCTCTCTCTGCCTGCCCACAAACCTTGCACGCTACACTACCCCAGAGTACCACTGAACAGGCACCATAAAGTGGATCATCTGTGCAATCATCTTTGATGGGCTTCATTACAGCTTCTTGTTCTGCCTGACAATGAGTTTGTCCCATTTCCCTATCCCCAATTTTCTATCCCACACGCATGCCTGATTCTTCTGCTGTCCCTTCTGCCTGGAATGTCCCTACCCTTGATCTGCCTGTTAACTCCCAGTTTCTTCCCTAAACCCATTACCTCAAGCTAAAAATTCTCTGTTCCAAACCCTTTTCAGAATTCTCCCAATCAGAAGGAACCCCCTCCATCCCAATAGCACCATCTTGCTGTAAGGCTGTCTGACAGCTCACATCACAGACACAGTTTATTCTTGAGATTTATGTTTTCTGATCCTCTCAACTGACTCTGTGCTCCAAAAAGACAGACTCTTTTACTTACTCCCTTTACTATTAATTCTCATTGCCTCGCAGAGAGCAGGTGCTGAGTAAATGTCGGCTAAACTTGATTTTGAGTTCATGAAAAAAATCTGAAAAATCACCGAGGATTCCTTATGGCAGAAACATGTTAGACTTCTGCAGCCTCCTGGTCAAGACTGCAGTCAACAGAATGCTAATGACACTCAGGGTCCGCTGCACAGGTACATAAGGCATTTGCAAACTAACCCAACAGCCTGGTCAGGGCAGAGTGGAATTAATCAAGAGCAAAAGGAGCACCCGGCATTACCACACAGGCCATGAGAATGTAATTAAATTGAAGATAAAGGGAGTTTAAATCTACAAGGTAATATTTTTAAAAGCCACGAGAGTGGAGGGGGAAGTTTATTGCCAAATGCCTCTGTGTGTTTATCTAATCAACATATCACCTAGGATAATACCACATTTAAAGCTTTTAATAAAACAGTCATTTGGGTATTAGATTTGAATTCTGGTCAGCATGCTAAAGCTCTTCCGTAACTCTTTTAAAAGCGATTTCCACTTCGTAGCTTCCTAGTAACAGTAGAAACATGAATCAACATATGCTGCATTGATTTAGGGTTTCCATGGAGACCGGAAGGACACGGGGAAGGGCAGGACAGAAAGAGGCCACTTGGCCCAAAATTCTACTTTAAAAAATGCATCTCAATCTCATTCCTCTGAGCATTAGCAGCCTCATTTCCTGTTCATCAGTTCAAGCATCCACATATTTAATTTGTAATAACCCTGCTCAACTCCTCATAAGGAACATCAGAGGGGACGTGGGGAGAAGTCAGCAGCTAAAGCCGTGTGCCCATGAGGTTTGCAAAGCAAACCAAGAAGCACAGGGTTTGGAATCAGAAGAAAGGGTCTTTGGTACTAACTCTCAATTAACTAGCTCCATGATGCTAACTACCTCTACTAGCTCTGTGATCACTAACTAACCTCACCAAGACCTTCCGGCTTCAATTTCCTCATCTGTAAAACACAGATTAGCACACCTGCTTGGTCTATTTTTCAGGGTGACTATATGAAAAGAAATGAGAAAGTCTGTGGGGGAAATGCCCTGTAAATTCCAGTACATCACACCCTATTATTATATTGGAAGATGATCTTGTCTTCCCTTTAAATCGAAGTTTGCCAGTGAGCAAGTAGATGTAAAAAACAGGTTCCTGATTGAGTGGAGAGTAGACTGACTGGAAAAGAAAGAGCAGTAGATTTGACAGCCCTGAGTTTCAACCCCAACTCTCCATAATTTTCCACATTAAGGGCAGACCCAGAACTGTGGGCAAGCTACTCGCCCTCTCTGAGTATCATTTTCATCATAGGGGAAATGAAAATAACAGTAGCAATATCACGGTCTTGTTACAAGGAATGAATTAAATAATGGAATGGAGTCTTTACCACAATTCTTGACAAATGGCAAATAGCTGGTGTGAGCCACTTTTATCATTATTCTTAGTCTTTTCAACTATATTTTATCATCTGTAAAATGAGAATTAAATTTCCTACTATGTCTTCATTTTACATAGCGGATTACTTAGATGTCTGTTCAGCTATTTAATAAGCTGTTTGGGGAAAGGTGCCTTATAAATAGAACATCATTATTTAAAGATTCGTTTTTTTTACCACCTGCTCACTGAGGTGAGACAAAATGGATAGGATAGCACATCTGTGGCGATTCTTGAGCTTCAGTGGCTGGGGTTATATAAGTCTCCATTCCCTTTCTCACCTCCTTTTGTTCCTCCTGGGCATTCATTTGTCTCCTCACCGCTCACTGCAGGGTTTTCCTCTTGCCAGCCTCTTTTCTTTATTCGCTATCTTTATACTCCCCCTTCTAAGTGTGTCTAGAAAAAAATTTCAAAGTTAAATTTTGAAGGCTTTGGTTTCTAAACCTGCAATTCTTCCTTGGGTCTCCTAAAATGAAATGGTATAGCAATAGCAAGGGAAATGGAACAAAATCAGGAGATGTTAGAGGATTACACAGTGCTGCCTCACAATGGCCATCAGGGTTTAAAATAAAGCTTGAAAACACATCAACCAAATGTAATAATACATAGACTTGGTGTTGAATTCTGATTCAAATGCAAAATTTTAAAAATAATACGGTGCAATTGAGAAAATCTAAACACT